GTAACATAGATATCGCATAACCTAATTAGTTGAGAGAGAGGGGAAGAAAATATATAGAAGTGGATTTATATAGGCACATATCGTATATACCATCACACTATATCAGATAAGATGAGTTGAGTTGTAGTGCTTATGGTAGCTTATATACATACACACAACACACACTACGAGACGATCACTACACACACTGGTCACACAAACACACAACCACAACATACACTAACAATCAGCCACCATCGCACGCAGCATCAAACAACATACACACCAGCCTAAAAGCTTAATTTCTCACACTCAATATTATAAAATAGTAATATGTATACGTCATATTATTTCGGTACTACTAAAGTATATAATTATAAATTATTGTACATATATAATATATTATTTATAGTATAATTTTCGTAATAATCGACTTATATAATATTATTATTAATCGCCCGCATTAAGTCATTCTGATATATCCTTATTATCATCAAATTATAGACGGTTGATAAACTGTGTTGATTATATTAATATCAACATATACTTACTAGCTTAATATATCTATATATATAATCCTAGGATCTTAGATTATGTAGTAACGAGCTCTAGATATAGATCAATATTTCAATATAATACTAAGCGTTTTCAGTAGACATTCAGAATTAGTTATAGGAAGTTCAACTTCATTATATATATATATCATAGATTATATTAAAAATACTGATATTAATCGTGTGGTTATATTGCTCGAGTATATTAAATGTACTAGTATACCTTCCTTAGCATACATCTATAATATATACTATATCTATCGCGGTAATTTCATGGTATAAGCTAAGATATGTAGATTAGATAATAATAATAGTTATCATAAGATAACTTATATGATAGTAATATACGGTATTTTACTTTGATAGATTATGTTATGTTATAAGTACATTATGTTATATGAATTTATAATTATAGGTGAGTATAATTCATATTTAAATAAGCAATTATGCACAAACATAATTATGTGTGTGTGGTGTGTTTAGTGATTGTGTGTGTTTGTTGTGGTTGTGGGCGAGTATGGAGTTATTTATATACTCACAGAACATTAAAAATAGTATAAGTGATGAGTTTCTAAATTGTATGGCCCGGGGTAAACGGACCCCATTTGTGTCTATTTCAAGTCTTCAAAATTTTGATTTTATTTGTATCTTATTCAGCCATTTTTTTTTTGCTGTATATCCATCTATAGGGTAATAGGAAGGGACACACAAATTGATAATGATTGTTCAGATGTAATTTTCACGCGAGATAATTAGATTACATTTTAGTAGCTTAACAAAAAAAATATAAACTTAAAAAAAATGACCCTTTTTAAAACAGATATTATAGATGGTCTCTTCAATTGTATTAATTAAAAAGGAAAAGGGTGGTAAATAGAGGCCAGAGTGAGGTCACCTACGTTCTCGATTTGAGCACACAACACTTTGGACAAACCAATATACAACACATCTTGCCAACCTGGAACAGCTACTTCTGCACCGCCAACATTACCTCCTGTAAATGGGGGCCTCCGTTGCACAGTAGCGAACAGAGCCACTAGGAGGGCCTCCAGTTACTTAAATTTCTCCAGTTGCTGCCTGCTCGCTAAACTGTTCCAAATCACTGCCTAGCGCACAACTCCACCTAATGCCTCTGCCAAACTGTTCCAATCCAACTGCCTCGCCGCTCTACAGTTTTACATATTAATACAACACCACACCCTCCACAACGTTACAGCCTAATCCGCGCCGAGCAGATGCAACAACTTGGTCACCAGCTTCAGCAGCGCGAACGCCAAGAGGCAGTGTTGAGATCCCCACACAAATTGGGTTAGAGTTGGGTTCTCCCCTCTTCATAATTGACGAAGTTTAGATTTCGGGATCAGATGGCAGGTGGGCGGTACCTCGATAACACGTTGAGCCTGTTCGTCCTTCTTGTTGAGTACGTAGACGATGTTCTCCTGCCGTGGTGGGGGAACAACAATGGGTTCAGGTCCTTCTCCTTCTTCGGGAAGCCGGACGAAGAGAATGTTGTGATCAACTCTTGGAGGAGGAACGCTTGGTGGAGGACCAATGGGTCCTTTTTGTTCAGGAACATCGAAGACGAATACCTTCCTGTTCACGACTGGTGTAACGCGAAGAACCGTTCCACATGTCGAATTTGTCCTTCTCCACATGGTTCCAGAATTGCAGCACCCTCACTTCCTGTTACGGAAATTCCGGTTCCTGTGCCTTGACCAAATCCAGAGGAGAAACCACCTCCCACCCATGCCCAGCCACTAGTTGAATACCACCCTTCCATGAGAAACCCTGGACTAATCCCAACTCCTACTCCATGTCCACCGCTGACTCCCACAGAAAATCCACTTCCCGTTGCTTGTCCAGGGCCAGTAGATAGTGTAGAACCAGCTGGTCTTGTTAGATTGTAACCCTGGAGAGCTGCAGACGTTGTTGCAACAAGTGCACAAGCTAGGACCTATGGTAAAATT